AACTAAATTTAATTTTAAACTAAACATATAGCTATTTTAAACTTCAAGAAATAGAAACTAATAAATGTGGAGGATAATTATAACTAAAATATCTTAGCAATATAAATTATATCTTGTAATTTAAATATAACTAAAAGAAATAAGTAACTAAAAATAGTTATCAAAACCTATAAACTAAAGCTTTATAAAGCAATAGAGAGTATAAATAACTTTAATTTTATTTTTATAATTATTTAAATAGAAAATAAAAACTATAAACTAAAGCTTAATAAAATAAATATTAATAACTCTAACGTGGTTCATCAGTCAGCTGGCTGGACTAGTCAGCCGGACGTTTTTTTCTAAACACTCTTACGTCCAAATCACTTAAACCTTTGACGCGTAAAATCTCAACAACCATAATGCTAATCTACACCTAAGAAGACAAAGTCATTCTTGCGATTAAAGCGATCCGATTGATATACGCTGCAGGTAATAACTTAAGCATTTCGCGTGCTGCAAAGACCTATGGTATCCTAAAGAGCACCTTAGCTAATAGAATAAATAACTGACTGCGATGCGAATAAGCTTAACCCTAACGATATAAACTTAATCTGATTAAAGAGAAAACACTTCTCTAATATATTATTAAATAGGATTCCAGAGGATTTCCTTTCCGCCTCAGCAGTGTGGAAGATATAGCTAATCTCCTGCTGTAAGCCTGTAATAGTAAGCCTGTTAGTAAGTGATAGGCTAGGCGGTTTGTGGACTTACAGCCTGCTCTGAAAACTAAGTTTAATTATCTATATAATTATTAAAGGGCTTTTTAAGAAGATCTTAAGGTTATATTAAAGTGGTTTGCACTATTATGCAACATAATGGCTAAGTATGGCATTTAAGAGGGGGACTTATATAATTTTAATGAAACTGGCTTTATAATGGGTATGATCACTATGTTAATAGTGGTTACACATGCTGATCAACGCGGCAAAGCAAAGTCTGTCCAGCCTAGCAACTGTGAATAGGCTATAGTTATCGAATATATTAATTTGTGTGGGTGGTGCATCCCTCTGTCTGTGATTATTAAGGGTGTATATCACCTTGCTAGTTGGACCATAGAATCAGGTTTTCTAGGTAACTAGGTGATTAAACCTACTACTAATAGATAGATAGATAATTAGATAGGTTTTAATTAGATTAAACATTTTAATAAACACACTAAGAACTGAATAAAGGGCGTCTGCTAGATGCTTATTATTAATAGCTATAAGAGCTATTTATCAGCTGAATTTAATAACTACTGTAAGTAGAATAATATTATAACTATTAGTATACTTATATATTCATCACATCTATTATAGCTATTAGATATTACCCTTTATTCGCCTTTGAAACGCGCATATAGTGATGAAATTAACTAATTTATCAGAGCCTCTATAAATCATATCACTAAGTCTGAGTTCTTTATTGCCTTCTACTAGGCCTATAATAAGGTTTTTAATAAAGAAAATATTGGGTCTGCTTTCTAAGGCGCTGGAATTTCACTATAGGACCTAGACTATATTATTAAAAAGCTTAATATGTATTTATAGACGCCTACACCTCTTATAGCTAACCTTTTATCACCTCCACCTTAGCAGTTGCAAACGCCCTCTAACCTATAATAAACCATCTTATAGTCTAACTTTATTAAAAGTTATATCTCTGCTTATTAAGAAAGCTTACTAACACTAATTATTACTGCAGTTAAGTAATTATTAAAGGGTGTATAGGTAATAGCGCACTTAATCACTATTTTGACTGATTAGCTTTATACCTTTAAGGATGTGAATATAGCATTTATTAAGCGCTAGAGGGCTAAAAGAACGTAGGTCTAGCTTAGAGGGGCATTTAGTATAGAGGAATCTTAGGTTTTACTTAAAGGGAAATAAAAAGGGAAACGTTTAGCACCTTAAGAGGATAATGAGGGGGGTCTATTAAAGAGAGCCTAGCTAGCTTAGAGATGTTGTGGTATGTGTGGTGAGACTGGGCATAACGTGCGAACCTGTTCTAAAGATGTTGAACCCTCAGGAGATTCTGATAGTAATAACTAGTCGTTAATTTAATGCGTTGTGGTTGAGAAATACTAGATGTTGTTGTGTACGTGGGAAAAAAACGTCTGGCTGACTGGTCCGGCCGGCTGACTGATGAACCACGTTCATTTAATCTTTGTAACTATTTAAATAGAAAATCATAAAATAATTAAATATACTAAAACTATTATTGTATTTTATAAATATGAGTATAATAAGATAATCTAAAACTATAGAGATTATAATTAGACTTTTATAAAAACCTATATTATAAGTAAAAGAATAATTAAATGTATTTAAAAGATTCTATAAATTATTAATAGAATTATTAATAAAGTAAAAGATTTTATAGAAATAGATATTAATTATAACATAATAAATATTATCACTAAAAAATACATAATTATAGCTTTTAATAAGCTTAATATCTTTATTTTAAACTAAAAGAAATTCTTTATAATTTTATTCAAACTGTTAACATATAACATTCTTTTATAATAATAATAATATAAGAATAATAATAACGCTTAACTTTCTTTAATATTCTATATAAAATAAACCAATAAAGTTTAAGGTACAAAACCTTATACAAAAATACTTGATTTATTACAACTTATAACTATAATATCGATTATGTAATGCGTATAGCTACGTAAGCACCTTATGTAATTAGCAGTTTAGCAGGTTACGTTTCAGGTTATCTTTCCTCTCACTTTTCCCTACTAGAGGATGCAACCTGCGAACAACAACAACCAGACTCATCACAATACATCTGTTCCCTTATTCTTATCTATACAATTAAATGCTCATAAATGCTCAGAATTATTACCTTTTATCATAACATTACCACATCTATAACCTTATACTATATAGGCGCATATACCACGCCCCTGAATACGCTTATACCTGTGTTAACATAAACTTTATAAAGTTAATATTTATAAAAACTAAAATCTAAACACTAATATTATTAAAAATAAATATTACTCTCTTAAAAATATATTAAAATTTATCTCCAAAAGATAAATTAAGCTAAATGAAAAATAGCTTTATAAAGTATAAATAATAGCAAAAGAAGAAGCTTTATAAGCTTAATGTTATAATATAGGATAATAAAATGCCTATTAATATTAATAAAACTAAAACTAAAATAATATATAAAAATAATTATAAGCCTATATTTATTAATAGAAATAATAATAATTAACATTAATATAAATAAACTAATACTAATAGCTTTAATAAAATCGAAATATAATAAACTAAATATAAATTACTATAAATAATTATTATGAAATAAACCTCTATTTCTAATATTAATATAATACTTTTTATTATATCTTCTAAAATAGAATAATAATAGTAAGAAATATATAAAATTAAAGTTTATTCAAAAAGAAATAAAAAAACAATTATTTGTATTAAGAGATAGTTTAAAAGATATACTAAAATTGATACTTATTAAGTAAAAACCTTATTATATATTAGTTATATAAAATAGAAATAGCTACTATTAATATTATTAACGCTATAAAAATAATAAAAATAGTAGTATAAAAAGCTACTAAAAAGTAACCTCTCTTTATAAATAATAATAAAAACCTTATAACTAAAATAGATAATAAAATACAAATATCTATAAGATAATATAAGAAAACTACTAAAATAAATATTAATTATGATTTCTATTAATAAAATATATTGAAAACTAAATAGTTTTAATATAATACTACTATATAATAAAAGTAAATTTTATTTTAATAAAATAAAAATAACATATAATATAAATATAAAAATAGATATTGAATCATTATAAACTATATATTTTTTTTATATAATAATAATAAAAATAATATCTTTTTAGCTAAAAATAAGAAATTAGCTATATTATAAGCTATAAATTATTCTCATAAAATATGTTTTAAATAGTAGTAATATTTATTTTATAAAACTTATTCTAAAATTAAAAACAGCTTTAAAACTAAAAATAACTCTATTTAATAAGATATTTGTATCATTATAACTATTCATAACAATAAATATTTTAGTAATAAAATATAAACAAATAATTAAAAATATAAATAATCTTTAAATTCTCTAAATTTGTAATAAGAGTGTAATATTAATTAATAATATAAAAATATAGAAATTAGCTATTATAGTAGGAATTCTAATAAAAAAAAGTTAGATATAATAATAAAGAGGTTATTATTTTAATAGTTATTTATAAACCTATTTTAACTTCTTTAAATATCTATATATAGATTCATAGTAATATTATATAAAAAGAAATATTTATTATATAAAATTATAAAAAGATAATTTAATATATAATAAAAACATTATAGATTATAATAAATTCTAATTATAATAATACTAATAAAATAGAAGATTTAGAAATAAAAAAAATTAAAATAATATATAGCTAGAAAGTATTAATAGAAAATATTATAGTTATTTATAATATTACTATTTACACTTACTTTTTTACAGAATTTATAGCTAGAGAAGATTAATAAATAATGTTATAACTACTTATAATATATTATTTATTTTTAGTTTTTTATAGAATTTTAAGTTTTAAAGATAAGATTTATATACTAGAGGGGGGATATTATTATAGGGTAGGCCTTATATAGTAGTAATAGGTCACTATAAGTAACTACCCTACTAGATGTATAGAAGAATAAGCAACTTTAACTTTACACATCCACACCTACGTGTGTAGCCAGCACATCCACTCCGTATTAGGCCTCAACTGTAAACCTCCACAACTCTGCCTTTCCTCCGCGCCTCCAGCGGTCCCATGAAAACACCCACTTCCGATTCGGACACGCTCACCGCAACTGCGATAAATTTCCATCGCCGGAGTTTCAATCATGATCTCCCCTGCCACTTCGAAACCCCCCTTCTGATCCAAAGTCGACGACAACAACCACCGTCAGCACCATGTCGCAACAACCAATACAGCCGCCGTTCGCCGCCCCCGAGGACGATGCCGCCATCACCCATCTCGTCCACAATCTCGTCGAGGAGGCTGTCCGATCTGTCGAGGACGTTCCAATGCCGTTTACGCGTAAGTTGAGACTCGTAGACAAGGAGACGATGGTCCGGACAAGACACGCTGACTAGCCACAACAAGCGCGAGCCCCCACTCAATGGCCTGTCGAGGAATTGGCCGTGCGAGAAGCCATACGACACTCCCTCAGTCCCGACAACGTCAAGGAGCTTGTCGATTTCTCCGCCTTGATGTACGTCGAAGAGCCCGATGATAACCTCGTCTGTCCCATCTGCAAACTCCCCGTCATCACCCCGGTCATCACGCCCTGCGACCACACCTTCTGCCTCGAATGCCTGAAGCGCCATTTCTTCTCCGCCGACACCTGCCCCGTCGACCGGACCAGGTTCCGAGCCAAGGACTGCAAGACGTCGAGGCTCTTGACAAACATGCTCGACAGCCTCGTCGTCAACTGCCCCAATGCCGAGAGGGGATGCGACGAGACGATGAAACGCGAGGAGGTGGTCAGGCACGCGATGGGCTGTCGCTACACGTTGCAAGACTGTCCGGAAAAGACGTGCGATAGGAGGGTGGAGCAGTGGATAGCGGCCTCCGAAAAATGCTGGCACTTTGAGCAGGCGTGCGAGTACTGCGAGGAGAAGATGGAGGCGGCGTCCATGGCGGACCACGTCATCAGAGATTGCCCGAAGAATACCACGGCCTGCGCCGACTGCGGGGAGAAGATCAGGGTGTCGGAATTGAAGCAGCATCTCGCAGATCAGTGCCCCGAGGCGACTGCCGCGTGCAAATACGGCGACTACGGCTGCAACCACGAGGCGATTCGCAAAACACTTGCTGCTCACGAGGATGAATGCATCTACAAGGTTGTCGCTGTCGTCGGAGAAAAGGTCAGGAATCAAGAGAAGCAGATTGAAAAACTCCAGAAAGTGAAGGAGGAACAAGAGCGACAGATTCTGGAACTCAAGGATGAGAGGCGGGACTGCATGTCGTGGGACGACGTGTTTAACCTGAACAACGTCCAGGGCGGGCCCAAGTTAAAACCTACCGAAGCAGTCATGAGCATCTACGAAGACATGGAGCGTCGGATGGAAGAACTTAGAAAGGACTTCACCGATCTCGAGGGTCGACAGACGGTCATGGTACTGAACCACGTCATACCTATCAAAGAAAATATGTCGGAACTCAGAAGCACCTTGGGGATACTCAAGATGCACATGGCTTGGCTTATGAATAAGAGCCGGGAGGAGGTTGAGCGCAGTCGGCTGGCAAACCGGACTGCCAGCGGGACGAGTCGCACGAGAGGCAGTTCGGACAGCGACGGAGAGGCGTCGTCGTCGTCGAGGAGGTTGAGTGACGGGTCGAACGGTATACCCCGCCTGTAGGCCACCGCATCACACCTCCGAGCCACAGCAACTCGCTACGATTTAGTTGGATTTGACGGCCATATATTTTGCACCTCACGCGAGCTCGTGTACGAGTATATTTGTTTGGACATTTAGGCGTTTTTGGAGGGACCCACGGTATCAACGACACGGATTGGGCACGGAAATACCCTTGGGGCAGGCACTCTGCGCAGCGGGCCGCCCTTTGAAACAAAATTGGTTCTCACGTACAAAGGTTGCTATATCCCAAAAGCTACAGCAGGTCTTGGATGCCTCGAAGCACATAGTAATTGAATCGATATCGTGATATTTTGATGCGGATGAGTGAGCCAAGTGGGCCATACTTGGAACATGTTTCTAGACGCTGTTGATGTTTTATGAGAAACCTTCATGCAGGCCGTATCCAATGGGCTTGTTTTCGGCGTAGGTTCATCTGAAGCAGTTGCAGACGTCTACGAGCATCTATTAAGGGTCTAAGGGTCTAAAAGCCGCTTGAAACAGGAAATAAGAAGTCTTGGGGTCTAGGTAATTACATAACCCCTTCGGAGAGGTCTTTGAAAGACCTCATTGATCTTCAGTCTTTGTGCCTCAAAAGTAGTGCCTTAGGTAGCTGGCTATCTATTTATGCAGAAACTCTTAGAAAGCTGACAGTGGCAAGCATGAAAGGCAGCTGCGACCAGATTATTAATGAAGGTTCAGGGTGCACCTTCCCTCACTCAACCCGGTGCCTTACCTCATCAGCGGACTTTGATGGTGGACTTTGCATTTCCCAGTGGACAATCCGCTAAAAATCGGAGAAAGCTGGGTGCCTGGCCGCCCATGTCGGATTTAACTGGTCCACACCCCACATTTCACCGCTTGGTGTGCACCTCCATGCCGCCGCACTACCTCCCCACCACTGCAAGGCCCTGCTGGACGTCAACACTTCTGAACGCAGCCCACCTTGAGCTACCTCACCGGCCTCACCTTCCACACTGCACCGTATCGAGCTTCGTTCAGCCTTGTGCAAGGCGTCAGAAATCGCACACTTTTCTTGTGCACCCAAGAACTACCTGGGATCGACACGCCTGCCTCGTACGCTGCTTGTAGTCCTACTGTCTCCAGACGACCAACGACGACAAGATGGATCCCAATGAGAACCAGGCACCAGATGCGCCTGACACGGCGAAGATGAACGAGGTAAGCTTTCTTATGGACTTGATTTGGTTGCTGCGCAGCTCCTTGAGAGCTTCTCTGTCGGTCCCCTCCAAACGGCCTTGACCGATTCAGCGTTTCGACCTCGGAACCCGATTCCACGATGCCGGCGACCCTGCTGCCCTTTACCCAACATCGCCAACCAGCTCGATTGAGTCCGGCCGCCTAGATTGCATCGAACTCGCCGATAGCCTGTTTATCAACCCCTCCAATCGATCCCTACCGCCTGACGCGCCGTTCTTTCCTGCAATCACGAAGTTACAGCTACACATCGAGACACCAGGATGGCACAAGCCCAGAGGACGAAGACGCAATCGCGGGCATGGGGCAAGATCAAGTCGGAACTTTCGCTGACCATTCGTGCTGTACAGATCCGGTTGCGACGTCTGGCCAAGCTCGGTTCTGCCGCCAGGACCTCTCCCAAGCCGGAGGGCGACACATCACCGAATCCCGGAGCTTCGGGCGCCTCGACACCAACCGAAGAGAAGGGCAAGGGCCTCGCCGAAGAGCCGCGCAAGATCAACATCACTTCGTCATCGACACCGAAGCCGAACCCTTTCAATCAGCTTGGAGTCAAGGCCGAATCGAACGAGGGCAATAGCCAGAAGCGAGCCGCTAAGAGCGAGACCACGCCAGCACCCGTTCCGAAGCGCCCGACCGTCGTCCAAGAAGAGTCCATCGATGACTTCTCCGACCGCACCCTTACACAGATTTTCCGCATCACTGTCGACCCACACAGAGTTACCGATATTCATGGCCACAAGCTTATGTTTCTGCCGGGGGCGAACAGCGAGTTGACGGAGTCAGATGCGGCGCTGAAGCTGACGACCAGCGTTCTGGACAGTGCCCTGCTGGAGGCTTTGTCGACACTGAACCACAAGAAGTCCATTCTCGGCTTCCTGTTGCCGTGCTTCAAGCGCATTCTGCGCCTATACATCATGGTCAAGGAAACGGCCAAGGACAAGAGGGAGATGCTTGACGAGGCGAAGAGATTGTGTGTTAGCAACTGCTTATTTGCTCTGACTCTGCCTGACCTGTTTGGGTAAGCTATCGCGAGATAATTCGCAGTGACCGAAGTTAACAATTTGCAGCCGATCCCAGCCTGACAGTCTGGCGTCATGTCTCCTGAGAGGTCACGACACTGATGACGGCGTGTGTCTGGACTTCCTGCGGGAAGCTGTGAACCGGTTCCCTGAGGATGAGCAGTACCCAGTAGTGTTCGCAGAGGCGATCAACACCCTCAGCCTTAAGTTGTCAGAGATGTCCATGGATGGCGATTACAAGCCATACCTCAATGTAAGTACCGGCAAGTCGTCGGGCAATAGCTGTTGGGAACGGTTATGCTGACGCAACCAGGCCTTGATGACATATACCAAGTTCCCGCCACTGCTCAATGCTCTGGCCCAGCACACCAACTTCCTCCCCGCGCAAAACTCTGGCCCTCTTATTGAGAAGGCAACCATTCTGGGCCCGTTCTTCCGGATCTCTCCACTGCAATCTGAGGTCACGCTCACCTACTTCCCAAACCCCCGAGGATTGGACAGAAGACAAGCAGCCCAGCCGCAGGAGGCATTGCGCGCCATCCTGAGGGTACACCAAGATGAGTTGTTCACGATCGCCAACGCCTTTATTCGAGCCGACAGTGAAACGAGAAGTCGCGTCCTGGACTGGTTTGCGTGCGCCATCAACTCCAACAAGAAGCGTAGAGCTATTCAGGTTGATGCCAAGGAAGTCTCTTCCGACGGGTTCATGACCAACCTGACAGCCATCCTCGACCGATTCTGCTCGCCGTTCATGGATACAACTTTCTCCAAGGTTGACAGAATCGAAGTTGATTACTTCAGAAGGAGCCCTCGCGTGGACATCAAGGAGGAGACCAAGATCAACGCTGACCAAGCGACGTCGGATGCTTTCTACGAAAAGAAGGCCGAGGGCACATCCAACTTCATTTCTGAAGTGTTCTTCCTGGCTCTTGCTGCGCATCACTACGGCAGCGAGGCCACAAATGCAAAGGTCAAGAACTTGGAGCGTGATATCAAGTTCTATGAGACGCACGTGGCCAAGATGGAGGCTGAGCGTCACAAGATGGTGAACGTGAGTAGATCTCAGCCTTGCAACCTCGATGCCGTCTACTAATGCAGATCAACCACGCAGAACCCTGCTCAACTCGCTATGTATGAGGTGACTCTCAAGAGGCATACCCAGGTCCTGAATAAGGCAATTGCGTTGAAATACGCCATAGAGGGTGTCTTCTTTGATGAGAAAATGCAGGAGTTGTCCCTCCGCTTCATGCGCTACGTTGCTGTCTGGCTTTTACGCCTTGCCAGCCAAACGGACTACAAGCCTGACACCACGGATCTTCAGTACGTTTTTGCCGTGACTACCAATTCCTCGCACGCATTCAGAGCCATCACTGACCATACTTAGACTTCCGCTGCCCGCTCAGACGCCGGAGGCATTCGCATGCTTGCCGGAGTACGCTCTCCAGAACGTTGTTGACAACTTCAAATTCGTCTACAGGTGCGTCTCTCAATGTGCAGTACAGCTGCGAATGCTAACACTTTCTAGATACCTCCCTCAAATCATGCCGTCCGCAGTCGGCAGTGAGATGATTGCCATGTGTATTGCTTTCCTCCGATCATCCGAGTACATCAAGAACCCCTACCTCAAGTCGTCTCTGGTCACGCTCTTGTTCTCCGGAACCTGGCCCTTTTCGCATTTCAAGAAGGGTGTCCTCGGTGACCAGCTTTACGGATCCAAGTTTGCCAACGACCACCTGCTGCACGCCTTGATGAAGTTCTACATCGAGGCAGAGTCGACCGGAGCTCACACCCAGTTCTACGACAAGTTCAACATCAGATACGAGATCTTCCAGGTCATCAAGTGTGTTTGGGGCAATGACGTCTACAAGCAGCAGCTCACCAGAGAGAGCAAGTAAGTTGTGGCCCTGGAAAGACAGCACGACGTGACCCCGTGTCGTAGGTGCGAGGAACGCCGCTAACATTGGTACAGGGTCAATCGACAGTTCTTCGTGCAATTCGTCAATCTTCTGCTCAACGATGCCACCTACGTTCTCGATGAGGCGCTGACGAAATTCCCCAAGATCCACAACCTCCAGCATGAACTGGAGGCTGACCAGAGCATGTCTGCACAGGACAGACAGAAGAAGCAAGAGGAGCTTTCGGGTCTTGAGAACCAGGCCACGTCGTATATGCAGCTCGCTAATGAGACATTGGCGATGATGAAGCTTTTCACATCTGCCCTGTCATCTGCATTCACGATGCCCGAGATCGTGCAGCGCCTGGCCAGCATGTTGAACTACAACCTGGACACTCTGGCTGGCCCCAAGATGGGACAGCTGAAGGTGAACGATCCTCAAAAGTACCACTTCCAGCCGCGAGTGCTGTTGTCGGACTTTGTGGACATTTACCTCAACCTTGGCTCCTCGCAGGCTTTCATCGAAGCTGTCGCCTCGGACGGTCGCTCCTACAAGCCGGCCAACTTTGACAAGGCTAGCTACATTCTGTCGAAGAGGTCCATGAAGGAGACGGAGGATATGGAAAAGTTCAACACCCTGAAGGAGAAGTTCAAGGAAGCCAAGGAGATAGCAGAGCAGGCAGAGCTCGACCTGGGTGACATCCCGGCCGAGTTCGAGGACCCCATCATGGGCGATCTGATGAAGGACCCTGTGACCCTGCCATCGAAGCACATTGTGGATCGCTCGACCATCGTCCAGCATCTGCTGTCTGATCCCAAAGACCCGTTCACGCGGCAAGCGATGACGATAGACGACGCGATCCCGCACA